CTTTTGCGATATCGATCTTTCATGAAAGAGAGATGTCACTGTCAGTCTTTGCAGAACCAACTCTGAAATTCTATCTTGGAATCATAGAAAGATTTAAACAATAACTTTAGATCAGTCTGTCACTCTTCACAGTACTATAAATATATACATAATTATGTTTTTAGTTAACATATATAACACTAATAATAAAGGAATACTGGCTATAAACTTCCCGTTTTGCATATTTTTTTTAAATTCATCACTAAAGAGGTTTTATTCATTAAGAGCACACATTTAATTTGCTGGTGCAAGTAAATAGAAACCAATAGAAAATTCCATTTGCACGTATGAGGTGTATTGATTTTTCTTCTGTGAATGAAATACTGGTTATAGCTGCATTGCACTTCCACACACCTCTCAATAATTTCCATTAGATATTAGGATACAGAGAATTATGGAAAAGTACAAATTTCTGTTTTAGTTCTTGCAAACTAGAGGATAAAACAGGTGTAGACCTAAGTTGCAAAAATAATATATCTGGCCTCATGATAAGAATCAGGGTGAAAACTTGCATAATCTTCTTCCCCAGATAATCGGATTGACCTTTTGTCCAGAATTCGAGTCCACCAGGCACTTTACCAGAATTTTTACCTTACTAATATCCATGTTAAAAATGTGAAATAGAAGAGTCTGGTTGGGTATACAGAAGAAGTTATATTAGTACAACTTTAATGTATTTGATGTATTGGGCATCATTAAAATGTATGTCTGTATTTTTTGCATATACTGTACAAAATATAAACGTTTTGCAGAATGCTGCGTCATAACCATGACCCCTTGTGCAAAAAAGACTTATCAAATGTATGCTCATTGAATGACCTGCTTTTAATCCACAGTCTGGAAGCAGACAGCGTTAGAAACTATGAACACTCACTGATATCCTTACAACATCCCTCCATGGGTATCTTCTCCTTCTAAAGCAGACCGCTTTGTAATTCACATCATTCAGCGCTGTCAATGGCTGAGCTGTGTACATACATTTGATAAGGAAGTCTTTTTCTGGAGTGAGGTTGTGTGGCTAAAGAGGCCAGCTTATGGTGCAGCATTCTGCAAAACATTTAAAAAAAAAAAAAATGTTAATGCAAAAACTAGAAAGATTAAAGCATACAAAAATTTGACATATTAGGGCCAAAACCAAATCAATTAGCATTACGTTGTATTGGTGCCTGGAGTGTCCCTTTAAGAAGGAGAATGGAAGGAGCCATGAAAGAGCACAGTTAAAATGCTGTGAGGTAACGATTTTTTGGATGAATGCATGGTGAAAGGTAAGAAATATTAATAGGAACTAAAGAGATTTTTAGAGAGATTTTTAGAGAGTATTTTATACAAGGGCAAAAAATTAGATCATGGAGTGGAATATTGAATACTCAAAAAATTTAAAACAAGAGTGTTATACTTTCTTGTTAGATTAGCCCCCTAAAAAAAAAAAGAAAAAAAAAGAGTATAACTCACCTTTATTAACTCAGTGTGCCAGTCTTGCCTTGGCCTCCGCTAAGCCAATCCAGTGCTTCCCCTGTTGCGCATTGAGTATTGAACCTTTGGTGTCTCCATGCAGAATGTGGAAGTGCCAAATGTGAGTCCTGCAATCTTTCAGCAACCAGGAAGCCTTTCTAGTGAATTTTCAAATGACAGCCACCAGAGGTGAAATTAGGCAGCAATGTAAACACTGCCTTTTTCAGAAAAGGCAGCATTTACAAAGCTCAGCCTGCAGGGACAATCTCTTTGCTCCAGAACCACTACATTAAGCTTTAGTGGTTTTAAGAGTCCGTTTAAGAGCCAACAATAACATTTATTTTTAGAATTTCAGCTTTTCTTAAGCTATAAAACCATTTGACATTATAGTTTTTTTTTGGGGGGGGGGAGGGTTTCTAGTAACATTGAGATTCTGGTTTTCTGCCAGGTTGCCAGCTGTTGTATGTTTGCTTGCACACATTGCATATCTCTTTTATGAATTAATGATCAGAACTTTCTGCCCCATCTTTGTAATCTTTCTAAACCTTGTTGAACCCTCCCTTTCCAGTCAGGCTCTTGACGGAGAAACGTGTACTGCATACTGTCCGCATAATAATGACTGACCTGCCCTTATGTTTCAAGTGAATTTGTTTAATGTATTATTTAGCCACAAACTGTGCTGACTGATATAGAATTAGATTTTTTTGTTAGAATTAATGGCTCTATGAAGCTACTTCTCCTGTCTCTTCTATCATCATTATGATTGTGTGTGAGGTGCTGTAGAAGGGTCAACCCTGGCAGTTTTTTACAAGGAAGTAAATAATGCTTTGAGGACCCAACTGAACATAGCCATTGTGACATTAGAACAAAGCTATATTCAGGGAACTGGTCTGATGTTAAATGCATCCAAACTAAGTAACCTCTGAACTCGTTGATTGGTTTACTCATTCATACTTTAATCCTTGGAATGTCCTTGTTCTTTTACTAGCTGAAATAGATTGTAATATGCGTAAATTGTCAGTAAAATGCTATCATTTTGGTAAGCATACAAAGAGGGGCGGGGATATGATAACTTTATACAAATATATTCGGGGCCAGTACAAACCTTTATCTGGAAATCTATTCATAAACAGGGCTATATATAGGACACGAGGTCACACATTTAGGCTGGAAGAAAGGAGATTTCATCTAAGGCAAAGAAAAGTTTTTTTTTACAGTAAGAACAATAAGGATATGGAATTCTCTGCCTGAAGAGGTGGTTTTGTCAGAGTCCATACAGATGTTTAAACTGAAATTGGATATATACTTACAAAAACATAACATACAGGGATATCATTTCTAATTAGTGGGGTAATAGCTGCTTGATCCAAGGAGACATCTGACAGCTATTTTGGGGTCAAGAAGGAATTTTTTCGTGGGGCGGCGCCTGGCTTCCGAGGAAGATGGCCGCACAGGCTTAGAGCTCCGCGGGAAGCAGGCACACAAGAGCAAACTACAGCGAGCGCACACTCTCACCAAGTCCCGGGACATAAGGTACCAAGCCCCGACAGCGCAGCTCACCATGGGGGGAGGCAGGAAATCCAAGCCTAACACGGCTGTCGCCCCGATCTTCCGAAGCCGCGGGGAACAAGACCGTCCACGTGGTAATGGCGGCAACGGCGGTCAGGGCTCTGATTCAGAGTCAGAGCTCAGCGAGCACAGCCACACACAAGACCAGGGTCCCCTCACTAAAAGGGACCTGCAAAGCCTCCTCCAGGACATCAAGTGCAACATAGCAGCAGGATTTGCAAAGCATCTTGCCCCACTGAAAGAAGAAATGGCAGACCTGACTAAACGAACCTCAGATATAGAAGACAGAATGCTCTACCACGCTCTACCACGCAAGCACAAATTATTCTAGAATTAAAAGAGCAAGTCAAAGCCCTTGAAGAAGCACAAGAGGATTTGAACAACCGCTCGAGGAGAAACAATATCAGAATAAGGGGGATCCCTGAATCGGTCACCATGGAAACCCTAACAGCCACATTACGAGAAACCTTATGCGGCCTCTTACCTGAAGCGCCTCCGGCAGAGTTACTCATGGACAGAGCACATAGAGCCCTGAGAGCACCGGCCCTAAACGCTACTCTACCTAGAGATGTAATAGTGCGCATGCACTACTTCCACGTCAAAGAAGCCATCATGAGAGCAACACGGGACACACCGCTCCAAATTGAAGGCCACCAAGTCCAATTCTTCCAGGACCTGGCCCCAAGCACCTTGCGCAAACGGAGGGAACTGGGGCCCCTGACCCAAGCATTAACGCAGCAACGAATTAGATATGCCTGGGGCCACCCGTTCAAACTTCTGGTACGTAAGGACAACCAGACGTTTACCCTCCACCACCCGTCAGAAATGGCAGACTTCGCAGAACAACTCGGGATCTCAGGTCTGGACCACGGACTCCACCAGTCACAGAGCAGAGCACCTCCAAATAGACGCAGGGGACCGGGAGGACCCACAGAATATAGAGATTAGCTCTGGCCATGCAGACACACCGGCCACCCGCTCACGACCCGACCCTCTCCGCCCAGCTACCCAGAAGGCAACGAAAGCCCGCCCTCGTCAGCTGGCCACCTGCACAATGTCTGGCTCATAGAACAGAGGTGCCTCTTCACGCATAAAGAAAGACTCTATGTTATCGGACAGCACAACCAGTGACAGAGGCGAGCCAGGAGATAGCAAGTATACAGGGGACCCCACCCAGCCAGAAACATAGACCACTATCCAAAGAGGAAACCCCACATTTTAACTTAATACACTCCCCCCCACCCCCCCGAGGGAGGAATGGGGCCCCCTGACATCTAGCCACACCAAGGACCCCGCTAAAGCTAATTGGGGATCGGGCCTGACTTCCCCGGCCGGGAACACATGAACACCAGCACTCTACCTACACCACAGAGCCACACCGCATACATCTGAGGGAGGGGCGCCCCGGTAGATCCAGGGCAAGATTGTGTTTCAGAGCACATTGATATGCTGTACCCAGACAACCAGGGACACTGGAGATACGGGAATAACCAGCTGAGAGGGTGTGGGGGGGGGCCGGTGGGAGCGGGGGGCGGGAGGTTAATGGTACACCAACAGGGACTGAGCAAAATGTTTCATGTTTAATGTTTAATGTTTGCTGTTAAACGCTTGTGCACACAGAAACCATAGAACACGGACTTGAGAGTGCGCATACCGCACCACTATCACAGCCTGCTAGCGAGACTCTGACAGACTGTCACGACCCACTACACACTCTTACTACAACTCACGACCCGGCAATCGAGGAGCTGCCGGACGACTAACCCCAACTCTTACTGGCCCCAAGGATAAGACCAGTAGACCATCCTTTGTCACTCTCCCTGCATCGGCCGGGCCCCCAGGGACCCCCACGCCCCGGACGCGGGGCACCCATTACCCGAACGCCACAAACACGCTACATATCTAACTAGAGGTCCAGACATTGAAGCACAAATCCAACAATGCCTGTCACAATCAAATGTGTGTCGATTAATGCACAGGGACTCAACTCCCCCTCCAAACGGCACAGTCTTCTGAGATGGGCCTACAAGCTTAAAACAGATATACTTTTTGTGCAAGAGACCCACTTCACTACCCAGAGAACATTCACCCTAACCAATAGATACTACAACCGAAGCTATCTCGCAAGCTCGCCAAACACAAAAACAAAAGGGGTGGCCATTCTCATACGCTCATCTTGCCCCATAACAGGCATACACAGCACCGCAGACCCCCAAGGCCGCTTTCTCACTATAACGGGCTACATAGGGACCAATCAATACGCATTTAGTACCATATATGCCCCGACCACGTCAGACCCTAATTTCTGGCCTTTATACTCGACACACCTACGGGCGTACACCAACGTACCGATAATCATCGGGGGGGACTGCAATGCAGTTCACACCCCGGCAGTCGATCGACAACACCAAACCAGAACACAACCGAATAGAAATGACACCCTCTTTGCCAACTTTCTAGCTACCCAACCATTAATAGATATTTGGAGAGCCCAGCACCCAACCGAGAAGGACTTTACCTTCTACTCACACCCACATGCTTCGTATTCACGCATAGACCAATTTCTAATTTCACCAGGACTACTCTCCCACATAACAAATACCACTATAGGAACGATAGCATGGTCAGACCATGCTGACATCACACTCACCTTAAACATACCCCACCTCAAAAAGCACTGGACGTGGAAGCTCAACCCACTCCTCCTACACGACACAGCACTCAAAACAGAAATCTCAAAACACCTCACAGACTATTTTGAACTAAATTCCACAACAGACATCTCACCAATCTCCATATGGGCAGCCCACAAAACAGTCATCAGGGGACACCTAATTAGCCTAGCATCGGCTAAAAAAAGACAAAGACAACAAAACCTCATAAATGCCCTAGCGGACCTCCGACGCTTAGAAACAGAACACAAACAACGCCCGCTGCAGTCCACTCTGGCCCAACTGACAGACATACGGCGACAAGTGAAACAACTTACACAAGCGGATACGGCAAAAGCCATGATGTGGCTTAAGCAAACATACTATGAAAAAAGTAACAAAGCAGACGCAATGCTAGCTCGCCGTCTGAAACGCAGAATAGAAGCTAAACAAATACACAAAATACGGACCCAAACAGGACAATTGAGCAACAACCCAGACAGAATAGGAGAAACATTCCACAGCTATTTTGCGGCCCTTTACAACCATTCCCCTACACCGAAGGGAACAGAGCATACAGACGAAACAGCCATGACCGACTTCGTCGACAAACTGAACCTCCCCACCTTGACCGAGACCGCCCGAACCACACTAGCGGGAGAGGTCACGGCAGATGAATTAGCAACAGCACTTAAATCCTTCAAACCCAACAAAAGCCCAGGCCCAGACGGTTATACAGCCATATATTATAAAGAATACAGCCACCTCCTACTACCGCACCTCACACGGGTCTTCAACGCCCTCCTACGGGGAGAGACACTACCAACCGACATGACAACGGCACACATTTGCTTAATACCGAAACCTAACAAAGACCATACACAACCCGAACACTTCAGACCGATTTCTCTCCTTAATGTGGACCTCAAAATCCTTACCAAAGTAATGGCCAACAGACTGAACCCCTTCTTAGAACAGATAATACACCCAGATCAGGTGGGGTTCATCCCCAATAGACAAGCCTTAGATAACACGTGCAGAGCCGTAGACCTGATCTGGGTAGCACAACACAGACAGATCCCACTGAGTGTCATTTCACTTGACACCGAGAAGGCGTTCGATCGCCTTCTCTGGCCATACCTCTATTACACTCTTGAAAGATACAACTTCCCACATAACTTCATTACCTTCTTGAAAGCTATGTACCACACACCACAAGGTGCCCTCATACTCCCTAACATAAACCCACCACGCTTCACTATTGCGAACGGAACAAGACAGGGATGCCCTCTCTCACCCATACTATTTGCGATCTCGCTGGAACCCCTGATGCAAGCAATACGCACCGACCCAGACATAAAAGGACTACAAATAAGGGGAGAGGTCTTCAAAGTGGCAGCGTACGCGGACGACGTCCTGCTAACGCTCACCGACCCCGAAAAATCAATAGCGGCCCTACTGACCTTAATACAAACATACTCCACACTGAGTGGCTATAGACTCAACATCGCAAAGTCGGAACTGCTACCACTAAATATCACTGAGGCAAGATTGCAACACATCCAAAACCTATTCCCAGCACGCACCTGCCACGATTCCATCACATACCTGGGAATCCAACTTCCAAGTGACTTGACACGCCTATACGAGGCAAACTACAAACCCATACTTCACCAGGCCCGCGAGGACCTGAGAAGATGGCAACCACTAGGGATATCATGGCTGGGCAGGGTAACCTCAATTAAAATGAATCTCCTGCCCAGATTCCTTTACTTGTTCCAAACCCTGCCCATCCCTGTCCACAAACAGGATCTTAAAACACTCCAAAAGGAAGTGGACTCCTTTGTTTGGAACGGCCGAAAGCCACGGGTGCAAAAACACACGCTTTACGTCCCCAGACGAGCGGGAGGCCTAGGACTCCCAAACTTCACACATTATCTGACAGCAACACGTCTGGCCCAATACAACAGTGGCATCTCCCACCGGATAAAAAACGATGGGTAGACCTAGAGCACCTAATATTTGGCTGGGACCACCCGTCCCTATATATGTGGCTACCCAAAACACAAAGACCACTACCACCACCCACATCCCCCGCGATAACACACTCCCTAGATCTATGGGACAAAGCAAAAGAAAAATACGACCTGTCCTCCTATCTATCCCCGATCTCCCCCAAATGGAGAAACAAACTATTCCCACCAGGTCTAACCCCAGCACATTTCGCAAGCTTTGACAATAGGAATATATGTAGATTGCAACACCTATACGCAGCAGATGCTATCATCGCCTACAACGATTTACCAGACAAGGACACACTCACTACATTTGATCACTTTAGATACCTACAACTCAGAAGTTTCGCTGCCACACCCGTCATCAAACAGGCAGGCACAGCCCCTCTAACACAATTTGAACGAGATAGTATGAACCACCCAGTGAGAAGGGGCCAAATCTCAGACCTCTACACCACTATAGCAACACACCCAACCCAGGTGAAGCTCTCCTACATCAAGGCATGGGAAAAGGATCTAGGCACATTGGAAGACCCCACAGAGTGGTCAGATATATGGGAAGCCATAGCCACCACTTCAATATGCGTCACCCACAAGGAACAAGCATATAAAATGCTGTTCCGGTGGTACTTGACACCACAAAGACTAGCCGCCATGAGAGCAACTCACCCCAACCTCTGTTGGAAAGGCTGCGGAGAAATAGGCACCTTCCTTCACTGTTGGTGGTCCTGTCCTAAACTGAAACCGCTCTGGCAAAGTATCACAACCCTGATCACTAGACCATTCGACAGACCATGCCCCATGGATCCCTGGCTACTATTACTATCCAAACCTAGTGACATCTACACAAGAAGAGAAAACAAACTAATAGCAAGAATAACACTCGCAGCTCGCAGAGCGATCGCTGAACAGTGGGCCACACCACACATCCCATCGCAAGTTGCCATCACACACAAGATACAGGACAGCGCAAACATGGACAGCCTCACAGCCCAAATACACGAAACAGCCACACAATACCACAAGCTCTGGGACCCCTGGCTAAACGGAGACACTACACTACCCTGGTAAAACTAATTATCAAGAAATACACCACAGAAGACCTAATACCTCATAAAACTGTGCCCACGGAGACATGCCCATGCTTAGACACACTCTTGGCACCCACGGCAAACCAAATCAAGACCTGCAAGCCCGGGCTGGGGGGGATGGGGGGACCGGTCGATGCACCCCTAACTCACCCGGATCCAGAAACATCCCGGCTTTTCATGCCACTATCCCACCTCCCTCTTTCCCCACTAATGGACACAACTCAGGGAGGCTACAACTAGCACGACAAACTTCTACCTACATAACAAATCCCAGTAGTCACCTACAGTAGCAGACACAGACAAGGGAACCAAAAGACCCCCGGAACGTCTTGAGAGTCGAGGAAACCCCACCAAAGCTCAGGGATAAAACCGAACCACCAACAAAAAGACTAACAGATAGAAAACGTAGGGCCCTCAAAAATACCAGCACCGGTGAAAACCAATAGTCAGAAACAGATACCCTACCCACAGAAAACCCTGAAACCCGGCCTGAAGGGCTGAGGAACCAAAGACTTAGACAGCACAAGCCTAACCACTCACTAGACTGACGGGACGTACCGGTCATCCAAGCACACCATAGCAGCACAATGACGACTAACCTACCCTCACCTACCCAAACAACGAATTGTCAAACAGGATATCTCAAAACAGAACAAGCTTGCAATGTATATATGACAAGGAAACGTTGTATCCCCCTACCCTCTCTTCATTCTGTACCCTAAAACCAAACGCAAAAGAAAAATGACAAAAATAAGGAATTTTTTCCTAGTTTGTGGCAAAATTGGAAGCGCCTCAGACCAGGTTTTTTGCCTTCTTTTGGATCAACAGCAACAACATTTGTGAGGAAGGCTGAACTTGATGGACGCAAGTCTCTTTTCAGCTATGTAACTATGAAACTATGTAACTATGTAACAAAGCTTGACTAAATGACGAGATGGGCCGGGAATTTACTGGGTGACAACAAAGTAATGAAAGGTGTTTGATTAAAAGCTAAACTGTGTCAACAGCAGAGATTTACGACTTCCAAAAGCTGAGTTATCAGCTTCACACCTGCATGATTTTTGTCATAATTTCATTGTGGCATTATGAGAGATCTCTGGACTTCATCTACAGAAGTATTCAGGCACATCAGACTTTACCAATGGAATTTTAGTCCATTCCATTCTTTCTCTCTGGAAACCCCATCTCCTCACCTAGGAGACTGATATGACTTGGCTATCAGAATGCTTTGATTGGTTGGCATACTAGTCAACCAATTAGGGCTCTCTTATTGTTTTATTATATAGTGTTGGCATTTGTGGAAAATTATAAGGGCCTACCCTGCTATGAGAGCCTAGTCTGCAGCAAGTCCTTGTGAAGAAGGATTAATATTATTGCATCATATTTTTCATTTCTTTCTGTTCTCATAAGTTGCATCTTTATGTGTTATGGATTTTTATTTGGCCTTTTGTGGGGTGAAAAAAACAAAAAAAAAGACTTTCGCTGGGAAGGTAAATATATGTATTTTTATTTTTTATTGTTTTAAAAAAATTTTACGTATTAATTTTATTGCCTCCCTGCATTAGTATAAAAGGTTGGAAGGGTTTTTTATTTTGTAAAATTCTTTATTTACATCTTACTCCACACATTATTATTATTTTATTATTTATATAGCGCCATCAGATTCTGTAGCGCTGTACAATAAGACTACATGGAAAGCTATTTCGAAAATACATAATATTTGACAAATTAATAACAATTAAACATTATACATAGGTGTTCAAGTGGAGAGAGGGTTTATTGTAACAGCTGAATGTAAACGATAGCTAACAAGGTGGCTCCATAAGGCAACAGCTCGACTTTTGGAAACATTACCTCCACCCACGCTATGGAGAATGCAATTCAGGTACATACAAATTAAATGTGGAAAGAGGGAAGATTATACCCTTAAAATTGTGCATAAATGGGAATGTCAAAATAAACAGGTTGTTCAATTCATGAAGGTAGTCTACGAGGTGGCCTGTATAAGCCTGTATCTGGAGAGCATCCGAATCAGAATTAGGTATATGAATACAAAGGTTAAAAAATAAATAAAAGCAAATATCAGCAATGAAAAAGTGAATAGAAAATAGATAAAAACAGTCATTTTCAATGGAAATACAATAGAAGCCTTACTACCGCTGCTTGCGAAGAAGGTACCAGTCAAGTTGTAAGAAATTATGACCCTCTTACAAGGATATTCTTTTCGGGAATGTGTGACAAATAAGACACAAACACAAGTGTATAATACAATGTATTGTAAATATTAATTTAAGGATGCTGTTAGATTTTAAAAGGATATACACATTACACATTATACATTAAATCCAGTACATAATTAAAA